CGCTGTCTCGGAGCGACTGCAGATTTTCAGAGCCTGAAGGCTCGGGGCTCAGTGGGGGGGGGCAGTTCAGGGGTGCAGCTGCATGTCGGTGGGAGATGCCTCACCTCTCAGGTGTCATTTTTTTTTCTGGGTATTTCAATGGGAAACCTAGCTAAGAGGTTAGCTTTTCCTCGCCAGGGGTGGTCGCTGGGCTCAGCTGAGTCATGTCACACCGAGGACATGTCGGTGGGAGATGCCTCACCTCTCAGGTGTCATTTTTTTTTCTGGGTATTTCAATGGGAAACCTAGCTAAGAGGTTAGCTTTTCCTCGCCAGGGGTGGTCGCTGGGCTCAGCTGAGTCATGTCACACCGAGGACCGATGTTTTGCGCTCTCTGGTTTTATTTCGAAGCAACAGAAGAGAATCTGCAGTGAAGCGAAAAGCAGAGGGAGCTGACAGGCTGCACGGGGAGCTCGAGCCAAGGGGAAATGAGTGTCAGCGGAGAGGCTCGCGCTGGTTTCCATCTCGCCCTTCGCAGGGACAAGGCGCAGGTGTTCACCCTTCCCTTGTTTTTCTGTGCTGAAACATCGCATCTGTGCTGCTCTCCCTCCTCAGATCCAGTGTATAATGACGCAACTTCACGAGAGGGTTGTTGTCTTCATGTCAAAGCCAAAAAGCCCCGAGGAGGAGACCCGCCAGGGTTGGGAAACGCTCCTACGTCCCTTTTCTTACCAGCTTGGAGGTGGTTTTGCAAAAAGCCCTTTTGCTTCAACACCGCCCGGCTCGTCCCCGGCACTTGCCGCGACGCCGGGGCAGCCCCCGGCCGCGCATCCGGCAGAGCCAGGCTGCCCGCTCGCATCTGCAGGCACCTCTCTGGCACCGGGTCCCGGAGCCTGCAGGGTCCGGAGGGAAAGCGCGGCTGAGACCTTCTTTTTGGGAAGATCCCCGGCATGCTGCCCTGAAAAAGGGCACCGCAAAGGAGGGTGATGGTCTGGGAAGAGGTATCCCGAACCGCGACTGCGGGGACTCACTGCAGGTGGGGATTCCTGCCCGGGGCACCAAGAGGGGCTGGATCGGTCCCACGCGGCACCGCCGTGCAGCCAGCTTGGCGTAGCAGCAGGCACGGAGCAGGCAGCACCTGCAGTGAGAAGGAGAGCCTGGCCTCATCCGAAACGTGGCACCGGCTGCTTCTAACCTACCTGAAACAGGCTCCGCGAGCCGGGTGGGAAGAGCCACCAGCGTTTGCATCCTCGTCCTGCTCTAAATCACCCAGAAGCTGCTCTTCCCAGCCCGTTCCCACGCCAAGCCTCTTCTCTGCTTCCCTGTGCAACCCCTGCCCAGCTCCCAGAGCCCTTGTGCATCCTGGCTTCGGGACTGTCCCCGTCCGGTGGTGCCACCCCGTTGACTTCAGCCGGTTGTCACTGGCATGACCCGACTGACTACAGGGCTGGAATTAGGGGTGAACGTCGCCTCGCTTTCCCCCCTTCCCTAAAACCTGTTCCCTTTCTGCTGCTGCCCATCGCCTGGTCTGCGTTTTGCAAAGCTTCAGAGGATGCTGCTGGCGTTGCTCACAAGCCCCGGGGTTACCCCGGG